ACAAAATTTTGAACTTACTCATCGAATAAGTTTTCAATCTAATAATTTATTAGAAATTCAACAATTTTGTACAAATTTAATGGCTAAATCTCCTGAAATAATATTCGATTCATTTGATTTTACTTCACTTCCTGAAACATCTTTGATTAAGCTCATTGAAAGAGATGATTTACAAATGAAAGAAGTTGAGGTTTGGGACCGTGTATTAGAATGGGGTCTCGCGCAAAATTCAACTCTTATTTCAGATCCTGATACTTGGACTGATGATGATTATAGAATGATGGAAAATACTTTACAACGTTGTTTACCTTTAATCAGATTCTTTAGTTTATCATCTAAAGAATTTTTACAAAATATTGATCCATATAAAAAACTTTTAAACTCTCAACTTTATAAAGATTTATTAAATTCTTACATGAATCCTGATAGTATACCAAATGATAATATTTCACTTCCTAGAAATATTCATATTGACGAAGTAATTGATTCAACAATTGTTAGTTTAAATATTGTTTCAATTATTTCAAGATGGATTGATAAAGTGGATGTTAATCGTAAATTTTCTTATTTGAGAGAATTATATTTACCATATAAATTTAAATTATTACTAAGAGGAAGTCGAGATGGTTTTACTGCTAAACAGTTTCATACATTATGTGATGATAAACTCATTACTGTCACTTTTATTAAAATCGAAGGAGCGGAAGAAATCATTGGTGGATATAATCCTTTAACATGGTCAACTTCTAATAATTGGATTAAAACTAAAGATAGTTTTATTTTTTCATTTAAAAGTAATTTTAAAACCGCAATCATTAGTAATGTAAAAAATATTAATTGCGCAATGGCAAATCACCCAAGAAATGGACCATGTTTTAATCGTGATCTTGCAATAGGTTCATTAAATGAAAATGAAAATTTTTGTAAGTTCTTTTGTATAAATACTTCTTATGAAAAAAAGATAAGAGATCAAGAAGGCAAATTTTCTATGGAAGATTATGAAATATTTCAAATTGTGAAAAATTAAGAGTATTATTTTTTATTTTATTTGTAGTGCATGGTTACTGTATTTCTTATTTTATTTTTATATTCTTTAGTATTAAATTGTCTCTGAATTGTTTTTTTAAAAAAATAAAATCCAATATTCAGTTTATGATCATATCGAATTTTATAGCGAAGCAAAGTATAGTATGTTGCTCACAATGTTTTGATCAACATTCAAACTGTACACCAGTATACGTAATCTAATAATCTAATCATTTTAATGTACGTAAATTTTTTTAGAAGGAATCTACAATATATCAATAGGCCTGTTCAATTTGTTCAATTTTGATTTTGATTGTTCGGATTTTTGATCACAACATGTGATCAGAATCAAAGGTCGTATTGATCGAAATTTTTTTATTCAAAAATTAATAAATTTTTTTTTCATATTTTTCTTGAGTCAGTTAGTAGTTTTTTCCGCTAATTTGTACTTGTTTCATGTAAATTTTTCTTTTTTTTTGGATTCGTTCAAAAGCGCGTTTTTAATTTTCTGTTAAAACGATAAAAAAAAATCTACTTTTTAATAGTGTAATGCCAGAAATTACCGAGTAATTTATTAATTGTGGGCGCAGTATTATATTTAATTTAAGTGTACAAAGTATTATAATTGTGGAATGTTACAAATGTAGCATCCGCAACGATAAGTATTAGTTATTTACTAATCTAGTAGTACATAAATGGGTTATCATCCGAAGGATGATGGCCCATTTATATACTAAACTAGATCAGTAAATAACTTTTTTATCATCCTAGATATACTAATTGGTCCGCCAGTTTATAACTGGCGGAAAAATCCTAAATACCAATTAGTAGCCAGGTGATAAAAAACTATTATTTGAGAATGGAAACTAGGGTCAGAGAATTACTGAATAAGGAAATAGAAATGAAGATCAAAAAAAGGAAATTTTGAAAAGTTGAATATTAATGAAAAGGGGGGAAACGATATTTTTGAAATTCTAATGATGACAGGAAAAAGGTTAAATGTCAAAATTGAAAAACATCAGAAAGGAACAAGGGAAAAATCTTAGGAGGACTTAGAATTTATTTTGATGAAATCATTTTATTATAAAAGGCAAGATAATTTGACTTAGGAAAAAGGGGTTTATTTTGATTTTTACTTTTATAATTTTTAGTACTATATTATATTATTACATTTTTGTTAAGACTGCGGTGGCAACGTAGTTTACTACGGGCGTAGCCGCATAGGTTACAGTAGTTCATGAAAATCGAGTCACTGATCAAGTTACACAATCCTGTTAGCCAATAATCATCAACTCAAAACCCCGATCAAAAATTCGAACGATCAAAATTGAACAGGCCTAATATAAACTAGGTAAACTAGGAAGCGGAAACCGTTATCAAGTCCGAAGCACATTATCATTGCGCATCATCACGTGCCGGACGGACAACAGGACACTTGTGAAACCTATACGAATAATTATTAGTCAGAAGTGTAACGAAGGACTAATAAATAAGCACATTGTCCCGTTTAAATTATTCGAAAATAAAAATTTTTTTTCTCAAGGAAAAAATAATATACTATGTTAAAAAAGTTTTTTTCAAAATTAAGTCAAAATTATATTAAACTATTAGAAGATGACGAATATTACGATATTAAGATAGAAGCTGGTGAAGATCCTTATGTAAGAATATTCCGTGCTCACAAGAATATTTTATGTTACCGTTCTCCAAATTTACGACGAATTATAGCTTCCAATAACAGGAGCAATAATACTAATAATTTAGTTCATATCAGATTACCAAATATATCACCAGAAATATTTCAGATTATCTTAAAGTAAGTTATATCTGATATATAAAGAAATAATTTTAATACATGATTAAATTTCTAATTTAATTTATGAATTTCATAATTTAGATATATTTATGGTGGTTTTCTTTCATTAAATGAACAAGATACTTCCGATATCCTTAAAATTTTAGCCGCTGCAGATGAACTTTGTCTTCAAGAATTAATTGATTATTTACAAGGGTATTTAATTGAAAATAAATCGGAATGGATAGAACAAAATTTTGAACTTACTCATCGAATAAGTTTTCAATCTACTAATTTATTAGTAATTCAACAATTTTGTACAAATTTAATGGCTAAATCTCCTGAAAAAATATTCGATTCATTTGATTTTACTTCACTTCCTGAAACATCTTTGATTAAGCTCATTGAAAGAGATGATTTACAAATGAAAGAAGTTGAGGTTTGGGAACATGTATTAGAATGGGGTCTCGCAAAAAATTCAACTTTTATTCCAGATCCTGATACTTGGACAGATGATGATTTCAATACAATGAAAAATACTTTACAAAATTGTTTACCTTTAATCAGATTTTATTGTTTATCATCTCAAGAATTTGTACGAAAAGTTCGTCCATATAAGAAACTTTTAAAACATCAACTTTATGAAAATTTAGTAAATTCTTATATGGATCCTGATAATGGACAAAATGAAAACATCTTATTCCCTAGAAATATCAAAATTAATTCAAGGATTGTAGATTTAAGAATTATTTCAATTATTTCAAGATGGATTGATAATAATGTTACCGATAACAAATTCGCTTATATTAGAGATTTATATTTACCTTATAAATTTAAATTATTATTAAGAGGAAGTCGAGATGGGTTAACTCCTAAAAAATTCCATGAATTATGTGATGGTAAATCAAATACTGTTACTTTTATTAAAGTAAGAGGAACGGATGAGATTATTGGTGGATATAATCCTATAAAATGGGAGTCTAATTATGATTGGGGTGAAGCTAAAGATAGTTTTATTTTTTCTCTTAAAAGTAATGATATCTTTTTTAAAGATGGAATTATTAGTAATATAGAAGTTGCGGATTGTGCATTATGGTTTAGTACTACAGCTGGCCCATGCTTTGGAGATGATATCAATATATACGCTTCCTATGAATTTACAAATTATGATGAAATTCATTATCAAAAGAGATATTATTATGAAAAAAGAATAAGAGATGATGGTGAATTTTTTATGGAAGATTATGAAGTATACCAAATTATTAGGGAATAAAATATTGCTTTTTATTTTATATGTGGGTTATAAAAATATATACATATATATGTGGTAATTCCATTTATTAAAGTTTTTGTGCGCGCCATATTAATATAATTAACCATGTTGATTAGCGTTTATTTTCTGCGCTTGATACGATAAAGGTAAAGATTTGACGATAATATTTTGAATTAATAAATTAACAAACTTGTTACCACATTGAAAATGGCTGAAATTATTAGGGTATCACAGGTGTATTACTGATAAAAATGGTTCAATCTAATACTTTTTTTTTGGACAGGGATATTTCTTTTTGTGACTATGACTATAATACAGTATTGTAAAAATTTTCCGAACCATGCGTAATATGATGAACTTTGTCACTCACTCCAATGATTGATTTGGTCAAGTGATCGTCTATATTCTCGGGTGGACGTTGGTCGTATTATCAAATTACCCAAATTTTACAAAGATTTTCGTACAAACATTAAGAAGAGGAGTTTTAGTATCATTTTGATGTTATTTACTGTACATGTTGGTAGGTATGAGGACGGCAGATGAGATGGTAACTCAAAAAGATAGATATTTAGATGTCTGATCTTTCCACAATCAGCTTCAATCGCGTAATCGCGTAATTTTAATAAAATAATTTTCCTCCATTAATTTTAAAGAGCATCATGTAATTTTGACTATCGAGCGAACAAGTAATTTAATGATCACTATCTGGTATGTGTACAACTGTTCTAATAAAAAATAAGATATAATTGCCTTTAAATAAATTTATTATGTAAATAAAAAAATAATACGGAATAATTATTACAATGATAAATCTTAAATTGTTACTTTGTTAATTTTGGTACCTTTACTACTACCTTACTATAATAAAATAGCTAAAAATCAAGCCTTGTATACTAACGAAAAAAATCAAATCCACTTAAAATCTTCATTACATAAATTATAATCAAATTTTTTAATTATTCCTTCTTCTTTATATTTTTCTATCAGATCACTATATTGTTCCAAATTTTTTTGATTAAATTGTAATAATAAAGGATGTTTACCTTTCCAATTATTAAAAAAGTATTTTAAAGAATCTTTTTCAATATTATCATAAATAGTATCAAATTTAAATTTAAATAAATTAATTGGAGAAGATTTAATTAAAATTTCAAATAAATTATTCCAATCAAATTTTGAATTAATAAAAAATAAACCATTTAAATAATGACAATTAATTAATAAATTATTTAATTCTAAAATATTACTATTTTTAAATTCTAATTTAAGATATTTAAGTTTTGGACATTTTTTATAAATAACTTGAATAATTCTTTTATTATCAATATCATCATGAGGTATATCATTAATAATTATTTCATTAAGATAACCATTAGTATTTTCAATTAAACTTGTTAAAGGTTTAGTTGAAACATAAATGGTTTTTAAAATTTGTAAAAAAGGTAAAGAAACATTTTCTAAACAATCCCATGCTAATTTATGATAATTACCATTCAATTCTAAACATTTTAAATTAATAAAATATGATAAAATTCCTGTGATAGGTTGTTTAGTTATCTTAAAATATTTTATAGTATTTGAATGTTTAATTAAAGAATTTTCAATAATTTTACAAAATGATTCATCATGATTTAAATAAAGAGCATAATTATTTAATAATCGAACATTAAATAATTTTTTAGGAGTTTCAATTAATTCAGAAATTTTATAATTATTATTAATTATATTAATATAAAGTTCCAATTCTTTAATTGGTTTACACATTTTAATTAAACCAATTAAAACATTATCATTAATACTTGTATTACAACTAAGAAATTCAATTTCTGAGAAACAAATTTCAGCCCCTGGAATAAGATGTATTTGATGATTAAATTGTTGAGGTATATAAAGATGTGTAAATTTTGTATTTTCATTAATAAAAAGATGAATAATTTCTTTTAAAATAATTTTTTTTCTAGAATTTATAATTATCCTTTTAATTGCATTTAAATTTAAATGTCTACAAAAACTAATATAATTAAATAAAGGTTTTTTATATAAGTTTGTTGGTAAATCAATACCTAATTTCTTTATATTATTTCTTGATTCATCTGATAAATGTGAAATGATTTTATCCAATAGAATTTTCTCATTTGTATTATTATCATCATTTAAATATTTCCATGGATTATTCCATAGAATTGGAATAATTATTTCACACCAAGTTTTATTAACTGATAGACAAGAATAAAAAGTTTTTTTATCATTACGTAACTCTTTGAATATTAAATAAAGAATATCTCTATTTAATTTGGACATTTTTATTTTTATTTTGAATATTGGAAAAAGTGAAAAAGGTTGCGGAGTGATTTTATTCAAGCTGATAGGTATTTTGTGTGGTACTGGAATGATCTACTCTATACTTTATATAGTTATGTGACGTTTATCAAATTATACAATATTTACAATATTTACGTAATAAATTCATCGTATGATCGTATGATAAATCAAAAAAGGAAAGATCTAAACGTGAGAATGTGAGACTGGATCACAGCTATTAAATGATTTCAAAATAAATCTTTACCAAAAAAGGATTAGTAAATTACGCAAATTCGACGTAACCCACAAAAAATAGTTGTTGATTATATTAATTTTAAAAATGTTAAGTATGACATAAAATAATTTATATCGCTTAACCCAAAAGTACACAATTTATATAATTTTTAGGTTTTGGCCGCCTCAATTTAATTATTTATTAATTATACAGTAGAAAAAAAAAAAATAAATAAAAGATATAATAAATATAAATCAATTAATAGAATTTTGTAGAACTTAGTTTGAATGAGCTATGAAAAATTTTCTGTTATCGTGTAATATATTTACAACTGATTATTTATTTTTCACTTGTACATTTATATTTATAAGTCGTCAGCCGTCAACGTTTTACACTGCGTTCCCACGAAAGCCAATTTTCTACAAAGAAAATAAATGGAATGTTAATGAAGTTAATTAACATCTTTAATTAAAAAAACACACCATCTTTTTAAATACCTTTCAAGTTGATTCGTCAATTCTGAAGCGACTTGGGAGTTCTAAGGAAGTATAATTAAAATTTAGAACTTAAAAATCAATTTACCTTGATTATACTTTATTATAAATATGATTGGATGTTGTCTGCGTGGGAGTTTCTTGTAAAATGAATATATTATAAAGATCTTTTTATATTCACGTTTTTAGTACATACGATCTTTTATTTATAAATACACCGTTCAAGTTATATATAGAAAATAATAGGATATATTTCGTTAAAGTTTAATATTTATCGTTTTTTAAATTAATAAGTATAAATATTGCTTGTTGAAAGAATTACTGTTACGTACTGTATATGGGTTATATTGCTTGTTAAATTTCATTTGTACAATGAAAAAAATAATTTCACCTAAACATTTTATTTTGAAACAATTTATTAAAAAGCTTAAAAAATGATTTAAGTAAATGGGTTTGACAAGGTTAGGCCGGATAATATCGATTATTTTATTTTTTGACATGCATAAAAAATTAAATTAATCCACGATTATAATAGACGAACCAATGAAAAGTGATAATATGGTGTAGTAATTCCACGGGCGAGACTCTAGTAATGTGGCGAGCAATATATTTCGATTACGCCAAATTATTAAAACTCTGATATGAAAATATAATTATATATAATTTTTTTTTTAAAATAGTAACGCGTTTATTAATTAAGAACAATTATACAATTGTTTACATAATTATTTAAACGCCTAGAAAATATAATAATTTACATTATAATATTCTCTATAACTAAGTTCAATCTAAATCTAATAAAGATAAATATAATCTATTTTAGACTAAATTATTAAATCACTTTAACTATCATCCAATTCCCTTCTGTTATTTCGCCGATCATTCGTTACTATCCTAATATTTCTAATTAATTTTTTTATTTTCCCAAAGTATTTTTGCTGGTTGTTCTAATAAACTCAAAATTAATATCTCTTACTATTTCAGCTTATTCATTTTTCTTTTCTTCTAGCAATTTTAACTCGTAATCGTAAACGGAATTTTTTATCAAAACATTTACTTCTATATCATTTGCTTCACAAATCCAAACATGTTCTCAATCCTCACTAAACTTTTTACATCTCGGACATTATCTTCTATAGTTCCATTTACTTCTCTTTTATAAAGGACTTGCAATTCTTTGATTAGATTTTTAATTTTGTAAAATCTATCCTTTGTATCATTTTGATTACATTGCCAAAAAGAGAAATTGTTGCGATTACTTATAAATTTTAACGTTGCATTCCAATCAAACTCGTTCCAAAATTATAGAAAAAATAAATCTACTAATTTAACACTAATAATTAATGAATTTAATATGTTTTGGAAAAAGAAAATGATATTAGGAGATTATACAGAGGCGATTTGGAAGAGTGAACTATTGAATAAAGCCTCGTCTATTAATTCTAAATTATACTTTTCTTCATTTTTATCTTTTCGCTCTTTTAACATCAACCTAATCTCTTTTTCATTTCATCTATCATTTTCATTTCATTATGAGCATATTCAATTATTTCCATCTTGTTCTTTTCTAAAAAATTTTCTATAAACAATAATTATTACTTAAATTTCCCATAAATTCGTGTAATAGTTTTAAGACATTATCATTAATTCCTAGAATTATATCACTTATTTCCCTAAAAGTAAAATTCCTATAATTAAACTTCTAATAAGAATTTTATACTCATTTTCATTAATAGAATTATATTTCACGCTAAATCTCAACTCATTATTATGTTCAACTTTATATTCATTTTCTCTAATTAACCACATTACTATATATTCAAAGTTTCTCTTCCCATTATTCGTTATTTTACTTTTAACTTTTATACAATCTATAATCAAAAATCGCCTTTTTATCATTCTTTTCCCTTTATATTATACTATACTTTAATATTTCTATAAAATCTATTTCTATTTTAATTAAATTGTCTATTAATTCTATCCTTTCATTATAAATTTTATCTCTTTCCTCTTCTTCATTATAATTTTTCACGCAATTATTTTTAACAATTATATTTCTTAACGTCTCGTGTGGCTTTATACATGATTCCTCTGTTCTTCTTTTAACTTCCTTTTCTAAGTATATCAAACATTCTTTTATATTACCTTTCTTTCTTATATTCTTTTATATTTGTACATAATTATTCTTTTTTTTTTTTTTTTTTTTTNTTTTTTTTTTTTTTTTTTTTTAAATAGTGACGCATTTTATTAATTATTTAAATTTGATACAGATTACATAATTAATTATAAAAATACTTAGAGCTTTTCGAAATAAAATTCTCAAAACTCTATAACTAAGTAATATTTGAACAAAATTCTATTACTGAAAACTATGCTAAATTATGTCTAATCTAAATAATTTGTCATTTTTACCGATGTATCCCAAGTTTTTGCAACACTATTCCCGTCCACAATTGAACCTGTTAATCTTTCTAACGTTTACTATACTAATTTTTTTGTTAAATTTATTTTTATTTGCTTTTTCTAATTTTTCTTCTGTTTTTATTTTTTTTCTATTATTTTTTATTTTTTCTTCCTTGCCTTCCTCCGAATTTTCTTCTACTTTCTCTTTTTTTCCTTAAATCCAATTTTTGAATATTAGCTTTTTCTTCTAATCGTTTAATTTCCTCGCATCTTGGTATCCATAAACGATTTTTAATTTCGTCATAAACAAACATCCAAAGTCTTTTTATCAGCATTTTCTCTTCTTTCTTATTTGATAGACTATTGAAATGTTCGTTATATACACCTCTAATTAATTCCCATTTTTTACTTTTTCCTCTCAAAATTATCGAAGGACTTTCTAATATACTTATAAATTCGATATTGTAGTTCCTCAGAATATTTATATCTTCGTCTTGGTTACAGTTCTTTAATTGTTGTTCAAAACGATATATCGGTTCTTGTACAATTTCATCGATCGAGAATTCGTTAACTTCACATATCCAGATGTGTTCCCAACTTTCTATTTCATTTTTTCCACATCTTATACATTTGTCGTCTTCTATTTTATTAGCATTTCTTTTATGTAAAATTTTATAGGTCGATTGTTCTTTCAATAAATTTTAATTCTGTAGGATCTTTCTTTCGTATCCTTGTTGCTGCATTGTCTTTGTGAAAAATTAATTCTATTACTCACAAATTCTAAAGTAGTTTGCCAATCGAATTCTTTTTTGTGATTGTACATAAATAAATCATTTAGCTTTTCGCTATTAAGTATTTCGTTTTTCCAAATTGCGTTCGTAACTTTTTTTTCCAACCCCTGTAACCTCCTGTAATTATCCTATCATTCTAAATCAAATTGTATTCATTCGTCAGTAAGCCTTCGTCTACTATTTCAAAATTATATTTTATCGTTTGAATTAAATTTTTATCCTTTAACATATTTCTCAATTCTTTCCTTAACCCTTTTAATAATCTATATTCTTTTTCATTACTATCTATGATCCTAATTTCATTATATTCTAAAAAATTTTCTATAAATAATAATTCTAAATTATAATCGCTATCTATCTTCCTTCTATTACTAATTTTATTATTAAATTCGAATATTAGTCTTTGAATTTTTTCATTTTATTCGTTCTCGTTATTACATGTGTTTGGCTAAGAAAATTATTTCCGATTCTTTATTTCCTTCTTCATTAAAATTTATAATTTTCCATATAATATTGTATTTATAAATTCTTTTCCCTTTTTCGTTAACTGTAGATCTTGTTTTGACTGCATCAATTATTAGGAAAAATCTTCTTTTTTCTCTCGAAAAGTTTTCATCATTTTCGAAAATACTATTTTTAATTAACATAATAAATTCTTCATCGGCTTTAATTATGCTATCTATTTTTCCTATTCTTTCGTTGTAAATTTCATCTCTTCTTTCTTCTTGCGTAAATTTTCTTAACCAATTATTTTTCTTAATTATATTGTTTAAAGTCTCATATGGTTTAATTAAACCATCATCTTTTCGTCTTTCAATTTTCCTACTGTATTCATTTTCTAAATATATCAAACATTCTTTATTTCCTTTTTTCTTACTAATATTTCTACTACATCCTTCGCATTTTTTCAGATAAGATGAATTGTTTAAATCATATTCCTCTCCTACCAATTCTAAATGTATTCCTATTCTTTTGTGATTTTTACTTTGTGATCTTTTTTTATCTTCGCCAAAAATTGGGAAATCATGTTCGTCGTTCATACAATTTTTCCCTTGTTTTTCATTTTCATCGAAATAATTAATATGTATTTTATTTTATCTACTTGTCCTATATATTCTCTTTTTATTTTTCTTAAATTTCCATTTTCATCTTCTAAAACCTTTTTTTCTATATCTTTAAACCATTTCGGTGTCTTTCCTTTCGTATTTAATCCTTTTTCCTTACATAAGTGTTTCCATTTTAACAATTTAACTCCATCTGCTTCAAGAATGTCTTCTACAATCTCTTTTTGTCTATTAATTCTAAAATATCGATTTTCCCTTCTTTTATTCTGTGTTTATCGTTATTATTTCTGCTCTCATGGTTATATAATTTTATATTTTCTTTGTTTAACATCTTAATTGCTGCTAATATCCAATTATGATGATATTTACTTTCTATTTTTATCTCTCCTGGGCATTTTGACGTCCAAATATTTTTCTGTTCTTGTGACATTTTTTATCGCAAATAATGTTTTCAATTTATTATTGCCGTTCGCCTGATACAGCAAATTCTTACATAGCATTTCCATCTGTAAGTCATAAATGTGTTTTGCATTTAATATATCTTTTTCGTAAATTATAAAATTAGGTGTAGTTTTCGCCAAGCCCGGTACATAATTATTCTATACTTCTACCTTTTTAAGTATATTGTTCTTTATATTATTCTTTTATTTAAAGAATTTTCCTAGAAAAATAGGCTTAATAATAGATATAAGCTTAAGGTTATTTATTATTTTATTTTATGTGAAGTCTGGATAGACAATTAATCAGGATATATACCCTCGAAAGGGAAATTGATCCTACTTCTTACTATCATCTATTCTAGAACAGACCCGAACTTCTTGGTAACCAGAGGTCTCCTGTGCTACGAACAACATAAGAGCGTTACGAGAAAAAACAATTAAATGACAAGCTTTAATCCGTATTTTTCTTTCAACCCATAGGGCTGCCACCTGTAAATACTGTAAGAGGTGGAATGATTTACACTATTTTAAGTTGTTAAAATTGAACGAAAAAATAAAAGAACCAAAATGCTAATAAGCATGTACAAATAGAAACTATATATATAAATCTATATAACTAAAAAATAAAATAAACTAACAAGTACTTAATTAGTACGAACAGACGAACTATTTTCCAAATCCTTCGAGGTGGACAGTATACAAACCTTATATAAGCTTAAGGTTATATATCGATTTTGATAATCCATTTCAAACAGACTTCGCCACGTGATCCAATATGCAATTAAAGTTCACAAACATATATAGTCCTCCGGACAATAAATGATTTATAAATCACATATAGTCTCCACTCTTCGCTCTGGAGTATAGTACAGATAATTATAATTTTTTTTTAAAAAAAAATGGTTCACAAAAAATAAATAGAATCTCTTTTTCTTTTCAATCATCGAGGACTAGAATGTACTGTACATCTTACAACAAAACACCGCGTCACATGACCTAATACATGTTCTATTTTTCGTTTAACTACTGAATTTTTGTTAAACTAGAAGACAAAACAAAACTCTAAACCTAACTGCTAACTACCAAAATACATATCAGATATGATGCTAGACTAAACTGTATGCTTGTATCGATAAAAAATCAAAAAAATCTAATAACTAAAAAAAAATACAGAAACTAAAAACTATTTATTTCTTGTGCCACGCCGCCACCCTCAGCCGTCTTCAAAGTCACAAATTACTCAGACTTTTGATATGCCCACCTTCTTACTTCACAACAAAATTTTCAAAGAGCACTAATTACTATATTAGTTTTGACTTTTAACTCTTTTGTAGCTAATGATCGACAAGAAAGTTGCGTTTTTAATTTAGTGATGTCATCAACATTTCGGATACTCTAACGGTTCTTGTTACCTAATTAAATATATCTGGCTGAAAATTGGTATCTGCATTTTGCATAGATAATATTACACAAACAACTATATATATTCGAATAAAGGCGTTTAATTGTATTTACCCTATTTTTAGGAAGAATTCCAATAAAATTATTTAGTAATGGCTCAAAGTAACGACGAAGGTAAAAGCATATAATATGAGTATAGATATCTAATACAAATTGAAATTGCTCTAAAATTTTTTTCAAACCAAATTTGCAACATAATGAAACTAGTTTCAAAAATAGAAAAAGATAAAGGTAAGAAAATTATTTAACAGCTTGTAAATTATAAGCGTATAATTTAAATTTTTAAACTATTTCTAAAAATTATTTACTATATTAGCTCGTAAGTAATAGGTTATCTTATAATCGGAATGATAATTAAATTACTTATTTCTATTATTTTATATAACCAAATAATTTATTTTATTATTATAGTTGGTAAGTTAATAGCTAATTTTTTTTCATTGTATTTTGCCTGAGATTTTAAATAACCAAATTTACTATTAATATAATTGTTTAATAATTATGGTACTAATATTATAGAAAGTAAGTATTTAATTTTATATTAATTTAAAAGTATTTATATATAATTTAAACTAATAATATTTATTTAAATAATTAGATTGTAAGTTACTGTATATACTTAATTTTAAATACAATTATTGATTATAATTACTTTACTTTATAATTATTATTAATTAATAATGCTACAGGGTGTAAGTTATTTATTTAATCTATTATATTTATATAATATTTACATTTAATTTAAACTAACTAAATTCTTTATTTAAAAAATTATTCAAATATTTTAGATCGTAAGTAATTCTATTATATTTATATAATATTTACATATAATTTAAACTAACTAAATTCTTTAATTAAAATTATTTATTTAATAATATAGGGAGTATGTTATTTATTTAATTCTATTGTATTTATATAATATTTACATATAATTTAAACTAACTAAATTCTTTATTTAAAAAATTATTCAAATATTTTAGATCGTAAGTAATTCTATTATATTTATATAATATTTACATATAATTTAAACTAACTAAATTCTTTATTTAAAAAATTATTCAAATATTTTAGATCGTAAGTAATTCTATTATATTTATATAATATTTACATATAATTTAAACTAACTAAATTCTTTATTTAAAAAATTATTCAAATATTTTAGATCGTAAGTAATTCTATTATATTTATATAATATTTACATATAATTTAAACTAACTAAATTCTTTATTTAAAAAATTATTCAAATATTTTAGATCGTAAGTAATTCTATTATATTTATATAATATTTACATATAATTTAAACTAACTAAATTCTTTATTTAAAAAATTATTCAAATATTTTAGATCGTAAGTAATTCTATTATATTTATATAATATTTACATATAATTTAAACTAACTAAATTCTTTATTTAAAAAATTATTCAAATATTTTAGATCGTAAGTAATTCTATTATATTTATATAATATTTACATATAATTTAAACTAACTAAATTCTTTATTTAAAAAATTATTCAAATATTTTAGATCGTAAGTAATTCTATTATATTTATATAATATTTACATATAATTTAAACTAACTAAATTCTTTATTTAAAAAATTATTCAAATATTTTAGATCGTAAGTAATTCTATTATATTTATATAATATTTACATATAATTTAAACTAACTAAATTCTTTATTTAAAAAATTATTCAAATATTTTAGATCGTAAGTAATTCTATTATATTTATATAATATTTACATATAATTTAAACTAACTAAATTCTTTATTTAAAAAATTATTCAAATATTTTAGATCGTAAGTAATTCTATTATATTTATATAATATTTACATATAATTTAAACTAACTAAATTCTTTATTTAAAAAATTATTCAAATATTTTAGATCGTAAGTAATTCTATTATATTTATATAATATTTACATATAATTTAAACTAACTAAATTCTTTATTTAAAAAATTATTCAAATATTTTAGATCGTAAGTAATTCTATTATATTTATATAATATTTACATATAATTTAAACTAACTAAATTCTTTATTTAAAAAATTATTCAAATATTTTAGATCGTAAGTAATTCTATTATATTTATATAATATTTACATATAATTTAAACTAACTAAATTCTTTATTTAAAAAATTATTCAAATATTTTAGATCGTAAGTAATTCTATTATATTTATATAATATTTACATATAATTTAAACTAACTAAATTCTTTATTTAAAAAATTATTCAAATATTTTAGATCGTAAGTAATTCTATTATATTTATATAATATTTACATATAATTTAAACTAACTAAATTCTTTATTTAAAAAATTATTCAAATATTTTAGATCGTAAGTAATTCTATTATATTTATATAATATTTACATATAATTTAAACTAACTAAATTCTTTATTTAAAAAATTATTCAAATATTTTAGATCGTAAGTAATTCTATTATATTTATATAATATTTACATATAATTTAAACTAACTAAATTCTTTATTTAAAAAATTATTCAAATATTTTAGATCGTAAGTAATTCTATTATATTTATATAATATTTACATATAATTTAAACTAACTAAATTCTTTATTTAAAAAATTATTCAAATATTTTAGATCGTAAGTAATTCTATTATATTTATATAATATTTACATATAATTTAAACTAACTAAATTCTTTATTTAAAAAATTGTTTTTAATTTCTTTTAGTTGGTAAGTTAAAAGTTATTTATTTAATTCTATTGTATTTACATATAATTTAAACTAACTAAATTCTTTATTTAAAAAATTATTCAAATATTTTAGATCGTAAGTAATACTATTATATTTATATAATATTTACATATAATTTAAACTAACTAAATTATTTAAACTAAAATCATTTAAAATAATTTAAAATAATTTAGCCTGTAAGTATTGCATTTTTTTTATTATAATAATCCTTTTTTATATTTAATTTATTATAATATATAATTTTTTTAAAAATTTTGATAATTTATTTTAGTTGGTAAGTTATAAGTTATTATATACTATTTATTTAAAATTTAAATTAATTAATTATTTATTATATTAAAATTTTATAATTTATTTAGAGTAAGTATAATTATTATTATTTAATATTTAAATTTTTAATTGTAAATTTGATTTTAAATTTAATTTTTAATATAATTTCATTTTTGTATTTAAAGATTTGGTAATAGTGGAAGTGAAATTGTGGATCAATTTATTTCTAAAAATAAATTAAAATGGGTTCCTTATGATAAATTTGAAAATATTGAATATCTTGATAAAGGAGGATTTGGTTCTATATATAAAGCTAAATATAATAGTGTTGAAGTAATTTTTAAATATTTTGATTATCTTAAAAATTCAGATGAAAGTTTAAATGAATTTTTAAATGAAGTATGATATAATAATATTATTATTATTTTTTAATATTATAATTTATTTATGTAATTAATTAAATATTATTTTTTTTTATAGTTGAAAATTATTAATTCATGTGAAATTATTAAAATATATGGAT